GTGCAGCTACTGTGGAAAACAGTATGGAGATTCTTAAATCAATTAACAATATGGCCGGGCTCAGTGGCTCAGCCTGTCATCACAGCACTTTGGGAGGCTGAGGCAAGTGGATTGCCTGAGCCCGTGGTTTGAAGACCAGCAGGGGCAACTTGGTGAGACCTCATCTCTACAATAAATAAAAATAATTTAAAAATTAGCCAGGTGTGGAAGCATGTGCCTGTAGTTCTGGCTACTTGGAAGGATCGCCAGAGTCCAACAGGTCGATGCTGGCGTGGCCGTGAGAGTGTCATTGCCCTCCAGCCTGGGCGATGGAGTAAGACTCCAACTCAAAAAAAAAAAAAAAAAAAATTAAACAATATAATTACCATATGATCCAGCAATTCCATGTTTGGGTATATATCCAAAAGAACTGAAATCAGGATCTCCAAGAGATATTGCATTCCCATGTTCATTGCAGTACTAATAATTTACAATAACCAAGATATGGGAAATAACCTGAATGTTCATCAATAGGTGAAAAGATAAAGTAAATGTGGTATATATACACACAACAGAATAGTATTCAGCCTTAAAAAGGAGATCCTATTATAAGTAACAACATAATTGGGGACATTATGCTAAATGAAATAAGCTAGATGCAGTAAGACAAATATTGCATAATTCCATGTACATGAAGTATCCAAAATAGTCAAATCCACAGAAACAGAGAATAAAATGGTGGCTGTCAGGGAAGGGGGAAATGGAGAGTTCAACTGGCATAAAGTTCCAGTTATTCAAGATTAATAACATATAGAGATCTGCTATGCAACATTGTGCCCATAGTTAATACTATATTGTGCACTTAAAAATTTATTAAAATCTCATGTTAAGTATTCTTACCACAGCAAAAACAAAAATACAAAACAGAAGGCTAAATGTGCTCATTTCAATCATTCCTTAATCATGCAACATCTAATGACCTCATACCAGGAAGCTGATGTGTGTAATGTATCCTGTGATATTTTAAACAGTATTTATTCCCATCTACATTTTAACTAACACTTAAGCCAAATCACATCTAGTCTAGTCTAATAAATCCTCTGTCCCACACACAGCAAGTGTCCTTCTGGTATCCTGATAAATTCTCCTGACACCGGACTGTGTATCATTAACAGAGAGAATAGAGCTGTTGTTTGAAATGTCAACAGTTTGAGGGAGCATTTGTAATAGAACCAGTTGCTGAAAGGGAACCCAGTTGCAGAAATGTTCCCACTTAGGAGTTTGTATTAAACGACCATACTCTACCATCAACAGTTTCAATTTTATTGATATATTTTAAGAGAGAGTTAGATGCCTCCAGTACAAAGGAAACTCAAAGGGGAATTGAGTCTGCTACTAGGCAGTTGCAAAGATTCTTAATTGCCCCAGCATGTCCCTAAATTAACCCTAACCCAGTGTTTGCTTCCTGTTCTCTTAACTCTGCCCTTTTATTGCAGATTTCAACTTACGTCACAAAGTAAAGATACAGTATATTGGATATTGTAATAACAGTGCATATTAGAAAGGCTAATGTCTTTCTGAAATAAAAATTACAGAATATAAAGCTTAATGCAATAGTCTTTACCAAGAACCAGATCCATAACCATGGATTAGGGCTTCACATAACTCCTGCCACTTTGCTAAAAATCACACAGGAATCTCCTCATGGCTTGAATCACCATCTAATATAGCCCAAGAAAGATTGCCTCATGCGAAGATCAGACAAACATACTCAAGCTCAGATCCATCTATCTATCCTTTTCTCTAACGTAAGTACTTCACCTATTACAGTAAAATAAAAACAATGGCAGCAACAATTACTAGTGGTTTAAACACCAAAGTAAACACTAAATAACAAACATCTGCAAGTCAGACCTCCTGTGTGAGGAGAGAAGTAAAGTCCTGCACTCACAGGCACTCAGGACAGGGCACTTGCGATGTCGATTCTTTGGAGGAACTATGGCCTGGCCCACACGGTTTGCATTGCAGGACGGTTGTGCTCTCTGCTTCTCTAAGAATCTGAGCAGGATTTTCCTCCAACTTTCTTCTGTCCCCTGCTTCAAAATGAGGACTCAAGGATTCCATGGATGGAAAGGAATGGTTCTGAGCACACCATAGGTGTCTAACAGATTCATCAATAAAACACACATCTTCCATAAGTCTGCTGCTCCACTGAATTCTCTGTTCCTTCTCCCTCAGGCTTATTGTTTGCAGAATAGAGACAAAAGGGAACCATCTTAGTTACAGCTGATGAAAGAGTTTGCATTTACTATGCTAGTTTTTGTAGGGTTTAAGTATAACTCTGAGGTTGTTTTCATGTAGGTTGAATATTACTCAGCAACAAAGAACCATTGCCTGTCTTTACCTTTATCGGTGGAGACCTAGAGATTTTAGAGTTGAATAAAACATGCATCCAGAAAAAGAGTAAAGGAGACAGAATCAGCTATTTCCCAATGTTGGAGTTAAATTACGTAGGAGAAGCCAGGCTCGGTGGCTCAGCCTGTAATCCCGCGCCTTTGGGAGGCTGAGGTGAGTGGATTGCCTGAGCCTGCGGGTTCGAGACCCGCCTGGGCAGCAAGACCTCATCTCTACAATAAAATAAAAAAATCAGCTGGGCGTGGTAGTGTGCGCCTGTAATTCCGGCTACTTGGAAGGCTGAGGTGGAAGGATCACCGGAGCCCAACAGGTCGAGGCTGCGGTGGCTGGGAGCAGCCACTGCACTCCAATCTGGGCGACAGAGTGAGACTCCAACTCAAAAAGAAAAAATTACGTAGGAGCGGGTACTAGTTGTAATAGATGAACCCATAGAAGGTGGAAAAAATGATCATTTCAACATGAACACAACTTTAAAATGTTTTATTATTATATACATTAGAATTGGAGATGTTTTTCACAGATTAATTTAAAAGGTATTTCATATTTCTCTCGTTTTTAAGATTTATTTTCATAGCTGATAATAATGATAAAATTCATTTTAAAACAAAAATACTGTCTTTTTGTAATTGTGTTCTATGAAGCCAATAAGGTTAGAGAGAGTTAATTCATAGGGGGCGAGTGTCCTGAAGAAATAAGACTGTGCCAGCAGGTGGAGGCTGCGGTGGCTGGGAGCATGCCACTGCATTCCAGTCTTGGTGACAGAGTGAGATTCCAACTAAAAAAAAAAAAATGAAAAACTCGCTCTCTAACTGGCTTCTTGACTTCTGGGCAATTCAGTATCCACAGCCCCAGGGGACTTCCAAATCTTCCTTGAGAAGGCACACTCTGTTACATGTTGCAGAATTTTCCAGGAGATGGGAGCGAGGGTTGACCTCTGCACCAGGCAATCCTGAACTCACCCACTGCCACATGCAGAGTGACATGGGCCACCCTGAATAACTCCACAATGCTCTATGGAATCTTGACTTTTAAACTGAACATGAAGACAGAGTTATGTCAAGATATGAAGGTTATGTAGACACGGTATTGGCTCAACCGCCGAATCAGCTATAATAAAAGCAACTGACTGATCATGTGAACTGAGCGTCTCTGAGATGGATGGTGACCAGGTCTGCACACTTCACCAATGGAGTGAGGAATCAAGCCAGCAGCCTGGGAAGGGGAGGGTGGGTGGAGGGACCGTGACCTCCCCTCATTCCAGTTTACAGCATGAACGCAAATCTGGTGATGTCGCCAACAGGCTCCCTCTCAGCCCCCAGAGCAGGAGTCCTGCCACTGGGGCTGTGGGAAAGAACAGCTCTGTAACCTTTCCCAGCCTCTCAGCATCAGCATGGCTGGGAAAGCTGGGTGGGCAGAGGAGTCTCCTGAGACTGTAGAAATTCAGTCAGAGATAACCCAGGAAGAGCCGTGCAGCTGCAGGGGCAGGAACATTATTGTGAGCCTCTGCTATGAAGCTGGGAACTATGTGTATTCAAGTTTATATACATGTTTATCCATTCATCAACTACTCATGCATTTATAATCCATTTATTATCCCTCCAGCCACACATTCCACAAAAGCCCATTGAGTCCCTGCTACATGCTAGTTTCTTTTTCAAAGAATTCAGAGAGTTGTTTGTACCTACAATAAAGATGCTAAGATTTCATGCCTTTAAAAATGTTGTATCTGATGTTTGTAAAGACCTCTTCTCCCCATTTCCCATCTTTGCCTGTCAATTTGGTGAACTTCTGTCTACTTCTCAAGACTAGGCAGCTTGGTGTAGCTGCCATGACTCCCAAAGGCTGGTTCACTGGGTCCTTAGCTGATGTAGCCATCGCATCTTGTCACCAACCTAGTAGCAGGTGACCATATAGAGCTGACACTATTCATGCTACTCACAGGAGTTACTTTCTAACCTGGATCTTATCATTGTGTCTTTGTATACCCTGCAGATAGCACACAGTGAGTTATCCAAAAATGTTTGCTAAGAAATGGAATGAATGGATGAAGGAAGGGAAGTCAGTTAACCAATTCTTTGTTTCCTCATCACTCAACAGTGACTAGTAGGTGTTTCCAGTGTGTGCCAGGCCCATGTTGGGAACTGAAGTCAAGGAGTGAGTGAGACCATCACGGGAGTCCCTATCCTCAGAGAGATTTCATGCAGACAGAAGTCAAAGCAGCGTCCAAAGTCACAGATCAGCACTTAAGTGGCCTTGATGTGTGGCTCTGCCAGTCAGATATTTTTTACCTAGAAACCTGAGGCTGTGTGATGGACCCAAAACAGGACTGAGTGAAGAGTTTTAGTACTGTTTGAAAAGATTTGGGATTTGGCTTCGGATCAGCTGGAGAGGGTGAGTTAGGAGCTGAGAACACTTCTGTTATTCCTTTTTTGTTGTTGTTGTTACTGTGTGTTCATTCAACAGGTGTTGACATCATGCAAGATAATAATTAAGAACAAAGATCCCAAACACAGCCAGAGCTCTGACAGAGCCTAAATTAAATTAAAAGACTTTCTGAGTCCCTTGAGTTCTCAGATGTTTTTTTCTAGATTATACAATCCACTTACCCGGGCAGGGCAGAATGTTGCATTCCTGGTATTCCAGAGATGGACCCAGACAAGGCATCCCCCCATACTTGGGTTCCGGGTTGTTGCAAACACGCTTCCTGTTCCGAATGCCCCTGCTGCAGTCACGGCTGCACTGTGACCAGGACGTCCAGGCTGACCAAGCCCCGTTGACGGTATGGGCAGAGTATCTCCCAGCCCGCAGGAAATCACCAGAAAGACCTGGTAAGGAAACAGTTGAAATGTGATTCTGTTGGGAATTCTCAGAGTAACTACAGTCCATGTGAACTTTTATTCTGTATCGCCTTCTACTTTATTTCTAGAAATAGCCTCTCAAATTCAGTTTATTATCACAAAATAAACTTATTTTGAAATAAGGGAATAAATGGATGAGTTGAAGATAGAGTCCCCAGATTGAGCAAATAAAATAGAGGAAGTTCAGTTAAATGTGATTGTCAAATAAAAAATAAATACTATATTAGGAGATGTATATCCCAAATATCACATGAGCATGCCTATACTTTAAAATTTGATGGGATATAGTCACTGTTTAAAAATGGCTTTTAAATTACATGGGTCACATCCTCAAAACCATTCATGGGAAATATTTGTACAAGAAAAAAATTCTGAAAATTATCTGAAATTTCATATGTAAATTCCTGTATTTTATCCACCCCCTAGTTGGAGGCAACAAGATCATCCCTTGTAGAATATGTATCTTAAAATTGGGTCTTCAGTTATCTTCCTCTTGATATTTCACCATAAATTTTTTCTTCTAACTAGAAAAAGTTTACATAAAATTAATAAGAATGACTACATTCTGTTGTTCATGTTTCTTGGTGGGTGACATTTAAGTTGTACATCTATTCACATAAAACCCTCCATGAAAGCAGTCTCTTTATTTTTTGTAAGAAACAATAAGTTGGTGCAATCACTGAACTACAATGAGCAGTAATATGAGGGAAAGAGAGAGTTAATTTGGTGGGAACAATAGGATTAGAAAGCGTGGTCAAAGCAGGTGGCTCTGAACTGCAACTGTTGGGCCTCCAAGCATCCAAGCTGTTCACCAGCTTCCAGGAGAAGTCATGGAGGTCTGTGACATGAACGCACCAGTGGCTGTCACACAGAGCCTTCCTTGTGGCAACACAGGCAGATTTATCCCAACAGATCAGTCCAGCATGGCAACACACTAGCTCTGTGGCACTTGTCAAAGCCAACCACAAAGGATCTAAGACCTCTTTTCTAAAAATGATGTCAATTGTCCCCGTCCTTTCTATACTTTGTTCATGTTGTGAGAGTAAAGAAGGATCACAAACTCAAAGTGCTAAGGCATGTCTGGGATGGTCTCAAGATGGAGTCATCCCTGTTTTCGTTAAATGGTGCTCCAAAGGACCCATTTGTATCTATTTCTTTTTTCTTGGAGTAGCTTTTCCTTTGGAAGAGTTTTGGTCAATTAGATGAAAGTGAAAAAAGAGATAAAGAACCAAGCAAAGAATGACATTCCCAGAGATCACTGGACTCAATCCCTTTTTCTGCCGCTAAGACAGCTGAACTCTAAGAAGAGCAAGACACTTGCCCAAGGTAAAATGACCATTCTGTGTCAGGGCTAGGCAGAGCTCAGGGTCAGTTCCTACCTCAGGGTTTTCTCATGCTATTAATATAGCATGCAAGGATTTACACAGCTTTGAGGGCAAAACAATTTCAGAGACTACAATAGTATTCTCACATATTGTGCTTTTTAAAGGAAAGTTTTTATTTTTATAGGTATAAACAAAGAAATGCACTTCATTGCCTTTGTCCAATTTAGGGAAAAATAAAGTTTGTTTTCAGCTTACATTTTAGTGCATTTCAGCTGATGATTTAGTACCAGAAGATCTATGAATGATTTTTCTGAGACTAAGTAAATCTCATACCAATGATTCTGGATCCATCATAAATACAGTGCCATTTGGGGGGATTAATTCATGGGATCACCTTCATATATAACTACTTTCCTATTGTCAGGGTCCTTCCCTTTAATTTGCTATAAAATTGGCTCTGCTGTACATGAATCATTGTTTAAAGATTACTAAAAAGTGAATAATCAAAAACAAAAATTCCCCCTTGTTCTTTATGACCTTAGAGATAAAACCAAAGGTTTTTCCATGGAAATGAGTCAAGCCCTACAGACTCACTACTCACCATCTGTGGAGCAGCCGCTGGTTCCATCACTAGAACAGTATCGCATTTCGATTCTCTGTCTTCCCACTTCCAGCAAATTTGGATCAGGTAGGCGGGCTTTGCATGTGTATCGGAACCGCTGCTCGTAGTGGCCACCGTTGTCCGAGATGTTGACAGGTGTCCAGGGTGTCCAGGGTGTGGTCTTCTTTAGTTCAGGACATGGGTTGGTGTTACAAGGCTGGTACTCCTGGGGGGAGGAACAGGTATAGCGAATCTTACCATATGTCCCAAACAGAGCGGACTCACGAGGGTTGCCTGTCCTTTAGGGAAAGATGAGGGTCTCTACAACATCAGATCTAAGACACTCAAGGGTGACTCTATAAAATTAAAGACACATTTATGTTGCATCATGCATTTCACAGAATGTTCAGTATTCAACTCATCTCCAAAAGGCATCTGCACAGTTTCTCCTGTGTAAACAAAGGGAGTGAGGCAAATAAACTTAATAGTGAAAAAAAAGGCTATCTCATAAAAATCATCCTTTTACTTAAGCAACCAAAAATGCTAATTATTCTAAAGTTAACTTTAGCTGTTTTCCCTAAAAGATTAATTTTAAGATCACATAATATTTAGTTTGAAATGAATGGGTATTATAAGCCCTGGGATCACACATCCCAGGTAGTGGCAGGGTGGCCACATGACAACACAATACATGAAACATTTTACTCTATAAGAAGTTCTTATTTCTCATTTAATAACTTGAAGGCATTTTTCATTTTCTCTTTCCTTCCCTCACTCCTGGGTACCTCCTTTGTAACCACAGGTGACAGGATCCTGGATAGCTGAGCATAGAGTAGCTTTGAAGCTCTGGCAAGTGAGACAGGCGATGTGTGGGATAGGATGTAATTCAGGACTAAGATGATGAAAATCTATCTGGAGCTCTTACTGATTTATCTAACAAAAATTCTAAATACTATGGCTTCAAAAACAGAGCAAGGGGTACACGGGCTGACCTTGCATGCAATACTACATCATGACTTCTCCATTTGACAGTAAAGGATGTTTCACTAGAGGGGAATCCCACAACATTAACACACCTAGTTATGGCTATACTTGTAAAAATGTCTTGCAATGTTACACATATAAATCACTCTTTAAGCTTTATTATAAAATCAGAGAACTGCTCTATCCTGTCTCTATCTCTTTCAGTTGCATATGTTGATGCTTATCTCCATAGAGCTGACAACTCCAATATTCCAGTATTAGTGTTATTTTCATTAACTGCACAGAATGGAAAAAGAGACTTTCACGCTTTACTTCCTACCCACACCCTGTGCCTACCTCATTATTGTAGACTTTTTGTCTCCCAACATCTTCATATAATTACACTGTAATGCTGGCTAGATCAAAATCCAATCTGTGTGCTTATCATTAGGTGGACACTATCCATATCAGAGTGATATGGTAAATTGTCATTGATTTATGTTTCTCATCCAGTTCCCTTCCATTCCAAGTCAATGGTTCTCTTATTTTTGGCAAGTTGTTTTTTACTTTCTATAAACGTGTCATTGATTCACCATCCATCAGGTAATTCAGATACAACAGGAACTGCACCAATTGCATATCCCTAAATAAATCCCTCTGAGGGATTTATTTAGCGAATAGTGCTGGAAAACTGTTTGACAACATGGAGAAGGATGAAACTGGACCCCTACCTATCACCATATATAAAAATCAACTCTAAATAGTTTGAAGACCTAAATGTAAAACCTCACACTATAAAAATCCTAGAAGAAAAAATAGGAAACACCCTTATGCATATCAGAGTAGGCAACCAATTCTTGACTGAGTTCTCAAAAGCGAATGACATAAAAGCTTAGGTATATAAGTGTGACCTCATCAAACTGAAAAATTTTTGCACAGCATAAGAAACCATTAGGAGAATAAAGAGAAAATCCACAGAATGAGAAAAAATATTTGCAAACTATGCATCTGACAAGGGCCTAACATCCAGGATCCACAATCTACAAGGAACTCAAATAAAGTGAAAGGAAAAAAACAAACACTCCCATTAAAAAAATGGGCAAAAGACATAAACAGACACTTCTCAAAAGAAGACATACAAGCAGCCAACAGACTCATGAAAAACAATGCTCAGCCTAAATTAAAATTACAATGAGATACCACCTAACTCCAGTAAGGATGGCTATCATTAATAATTCCAAAAACAACAGATGCTGGTGTAGGTGCAGTGAAAAGAGAATGCTTCTACACTATTGGTGGGAGTGCAAGTTAGTTCAACCTCTATGGAAAACAGTGTGGCAATTCCTAAAAGAAGTAAAAATTGACCTTCCATATGATTCAGCAATCTCTCTTCTGGGAATATACCTGGAGGAACATAAATCACTCCATCAAAAAGGCAGTTGCACATTCATGTTTATAGCTGCACTATTCACAATAGCAAAGACACGAAACCAACCCTACTGCCCATCAAAAGTAGAATAGAGAAAATGTGGTTACATATACATGATAGAGTATTACACAGCCATAAAAAAGAACAAAATTACGGACATTGCAGCAAATTGGATGGAGCTGAAGACCATCATACTAGGTGATCACAGAACTATCAAAGAACAATACCACATGTTCTCATTCATAAGTGAGTCCTGAACAATAATTGCATGACCACAAAGGAGAGATTGGCAGTTGTTGGGCACTGCTGGAAAGGAAGGGAGGGAGGGAGGTGGAAGGGTACATGACAACACAAAGAATACTAGGTCCACTACAGGGGGAAGGAGAGCCGGTTGAAAGGCCAAACTTCACCTGCATGCTGCCTAAATATGTAGTTAACCTTCACTTATACACCATATCTCTATAATAAAAAATAACATAAATTAAAATAAAATGAATTTCCTGAGAGAATTTCCTGACACATTCCAATGTCGCTTGGCAACTGTGTGCTTGTTGAAGAATACTTGTCCTAGATTACTCCACAGCTTCATACTTAGGCTTCCTTTTCTTCTTCCATGTGTTCAATCTTTTGTTTCTTATATTACAAATCTTCATCTTAGTTGACCTTCCACTTGCTGGAGTGCATCCTGCAGTGCCATTCTAAAGAAGTGTATTGAAAAGCAAACATGTGATGCTTTGTTATTATCATGAAACATCTTTACACTACCCTCAAACTTGACTTAGAAGTTCAGTAGAAATTTTAAATTAAGAGTAATTCCCCTTCAGAATCGAATGAAATGCTTCATGTGTTCTATCATTCATTGTTGCTCTTAAGAAATATAAAGCCAGTCCGATTTCTTATCCTCTATATGTGATCTTTAAAACAAGATTTTTCCGCAGCTTTTAAGAATTTTTTTCCCCAGAGTTCTCAAATAGCATGATTATGTACTAAAGTTTGAATCATTTTGGTAAACTATTTTAATCTATAAATTCAAGTCTTTTGTCTTGGAAATTGTCTTAATGATTTCCATATTATTTCGTCTCCTCCATTTTTCCCCTCTTTTTTTCTTGCTGTAAGCCCTATTGCTTGGATATGAACTGCTTGACCCATTTACAATTTCTTATCATTTAACTCATATCTTCTGTCTTGTCACAATTTTTTTTTTTCTCTGCTTTCTGGGAGATTTCCTCAACATTATATTCCAAAATCATTATTGGGATTTTCATCTCTTTTATTACATAAATTTTCAAAAGTCATTTTGCTTTTCACATTACTTTCTCTGATTTGAGTACACTAATGATAAAAATTATTTTGAGGTTTTATTCTCTCTTCATAGCTTCTGTATCCTCCATGATGATGGTTTTTCTTTGCTTGTTTGGATCTTTTTCATATTAGAGTATTTCTTCTGATGTCTAGACATTCTTGATTTCCCCCTCATATTTAGAGTAGAGGTGTAAAAAGTTTAACTGGAATATCTTGACAGAGAGAAGATTGTAGACCATGGTTGGATCTGATTGGATTCTTTAGATGAAGAAGACTGTCAGAATCTTAAACTTTTCTTGCTGGACTTTTCAGGGATCCATCCCTGAGATGATTGCTTCAGTTCCCTGCCCTGCTTTGCCCTGCCTGGATGGTGGAGGCTGAGCCAGCCAGGATCCTTGGCACCAAGTGGAGGTAGGGAGCCAGGCTCTCTGTGTTTAGCACTTTTTTTTCTCTCTTACTTCCCCATTTTCAGTGCCAAAGCACGCATTCAACTCAGTCCAGTTCCCAGAGGTCCAGAGACTCTGTTCCTCCTTCCAGAGAAGGAACTTGTATTTGCCAGACAGAGCAGGTCTAGGCCCCCTGGTGGATTGGTGGAGAGGTCTGGGGGTCTGACAGCTTCTTAAACAGATGCCATTCAAATGTTATTTTGCTACTAACAGAGAAAATGGGCTGCTGATTCCTGAGCTCTCTGAGGAGTCTTAGGTGTGAAATGAGGTAATTCTTATTATGTATGTATGCTGGCTTCTGTGATTAGACAGCAGGATTCACAGGACTCTGCATATGGTCGTGCTCTCAGCTATAATTTATTACAGTGGAAGACTACAAAGCAACTTCAGCAAAAAAAAAAAAAAAAAAAAAAAAAAAAATCCAGACAAAACTAAACACAATCAAGAGCCTCTCAGCAATCAGTTCTCCCAGAAACCAGTTGTGACAATGCACGGGAAATACTGTCTATCAGAAAAGCTCACTGGAGACTCAGTGCTCATGGTTTTTACTGGGGTCTAGACATGTAAGCATGTCTGTGCACCGTGTACCAAATGTCTGGATTCCCCTAAGGAAGGCAAGTGTTCAGTATACATCAAATTGTTTTTGCAGTTTAGGCACAGTGAACCATTTTCATCAGTCTAGGAATGGTGGCAAGCTTCCTGAAACCCATCTTCCCAGATGCCAGTCAACAGCCACGCTTGCAAGCAGACCTTTCTGAAAACTAGTGTTGGTCAGCAACTACGTAAACTTTTCTCTGCATAGCTCCCCTCTACTAGATTTTAGTTCACTCCTTGGACATGCTTCCAGATTCCACTTTAAAAAAAAATATGATTCCTTCTATTTCATTTTTTCTGTCTTTGTGGGTGTATAACAAGAAAACACAATACCTTTAATATTGTATTAGCAAGTTTCCAGTAAGATAGAAGGTAGTCATGTGTGTCCACACCACCAGCTTCACCTGGAAGCCTAACACAATCTTTATTTTGTGCTGTTCTAATTATTCTAAGTTTCTTTACTCACAATGCAACTTATTTTATTTTTATTTG